GCAGTGCTAAGACACTACTACTAGACCATACTCAAAAACAGTGAGACTTCTTGTGTTCCTGCCTCTTACACGAGGACGCGGAGGGCTGTTACAGAGTCTGGCCCACGGTTCTTAGTCTCCACAGTTCGGTGCAGTGGAATAAACACAGGCTCGCACAGAAGTGAGAGGAAGTCAGTGCTGACACGGGCATGCTCAGAGTTGAGAAGTCTCAGGAGAGACAAATCACCATGGAAACAAAATAATCCCCTTAAATGTTTGCTCCCATCAACACGATCCAGGACAGTCCTGGGACAGCCTGACCGCCACCTGTGGCACTGACTGCTCTCTACAGAACAGAACCACGGACCCCGGGGGGTGGGACACAGGAAGCTTCAAGGCGGTTATCACTCCACTTACCACACACGCTTGTGCAAGAGAGGGAAAAGGAGTCCGTTCAGTGAATGACTTGGTCAGGGTGACTGTGGCTGTGATGAGACCCCATGGCCGAAAGAAACCTGGGTAGGAAAGGGTTTACACATCCACATCATCACCCTTCACCACTGAAGGAAGTCAGGCAGGAACTCTCACAGGGCAGGAACCGAGGCAGAGGCCATGGAGGGTGCTGCTTGCTGGCTTGCTCCTCATGGCTTGCTCAGCTGCTTTCTTAAGCCAGGACTACCAGTCCAGGGTTGGCACCACCCACCCTGGGCTGGCCCTGCCCCACAATCACTAATTAAAAGTCTTACAGCTGGACCTTATGGAGTCATTTTCTCGATTGAGGTTCCTTTCCTTCAGATAACTCTAGCTTGTGTCAAGTTGGTGTAAGACTCCACGGTGAACAGCAGGGAGTCCCTGGGAGTCCCTTCAGCTTCACGAGCTCTTTCTTTGGCTGAGTTCATTCTATTTACCTATGTATCCGATCTGTGGATAAGATGGCCATATTTCCCACGTTTGTTGGTTTTATTTTGTTCTTTTTATTTCGTTTATTTTGCTTTGATCTTTGCTCTTGTGGACTCTCATCCTTCTCTCTCTGCCAGTGTCCCTCAGGAGGCACACCAGAGTCCGGGGCATGCCCAGACTCACCACACTGTCCCTAACCAACAGTAGGAAAGGGGCTGTGACTCTTTACTGTCTTCTTTCCTTCGGCCTTGCTTCAAGGTGACACCACAGAGTCTGAGTTCACTCAGAGCTGTGAAGCACTAACTCTGGTTTTGTTTTTTTGCTTTAAGGACTTTCACGATCCAATCCTGGTAAGTTGCTTCGCTTTTCTTCACCTCTGCCAACAGTCGACCCCGTGCCCCAGAAGCTTTCCAGAAACTCCCCACATTTCTTGGTTCACTATAACCAGACACCCTAGTACTCAACCAAAGTACAGAAAGTAAATGAAGCTTCCTCATGGCTTGTTAAGAGGGCATGTTCCCAGGAATCACACCGATTCCCAAGTCTGTAGAACAAGGACTGAATAATGAGGAGAACAGGGATGAGGGGATTCGATGAGCATAGGGGATGCAAGAGAGAAATGGTGTCATGTGTCAGTGAGGGACTGCAAAGCTCTGCATGACTGACAGCACCCACTTCCCCACACATGTCCCCAGTCAGTCGGGCTGGTCCCCAGTCAGTCGGGCTGGTCCCCA